AGGGGGGACCTCTGAGATGCCTCCCATGGCGGCGGAGAAGCCCTGGAAGGTATCCAGAGGCACAACCTGCAGCCTACGGACAGGAAGGGGGAGGCAGGGAAAGCGCCAAATTTGAATTTGGGGCTTTCCCCGCCTCCCCCTTCTGGTCCATAGGTCGATTCTCCGGCTGCAAGTCGAAGTGAAAGTTTGAGGCCGGGGAAGTACGTAGGTCGAAAAGTACGTAAGTGGAGTTGGCCGTAAGTCGATACTCCACTGTATGGTTTAAGATTTGGTTAAGGAAATACAGTATTCCCATATGTTGTGGGAGTGTGAAGAAGTACTGAAATTTTGGAAGTTGGTATTTAAAGAAATGGGGAGAAATTGTACAAATAACAATGGACATTTCACCAAAAATGGCGTTATTACTTATTAGTGAAGAACAATGTGATTATTTATTTTCATTTATTTATTCAGCTTGGATCCCGCTCCCGTGAGTGTCACAACACTACACTGGGCAGGTTACAACCCATAAAATAGGAAACAAAGGTAAAAATAGAGATATTAGCAAGAACCAGATGGAAACAACTAATCCCAGAGCAGATGGATGAAAAGAGGGGAGAGAAGAAGAGGAGGAGAAAGAAAAAGGGAGGAAGATGGTCAGCCAGATTCAGTATGGAAAAGCTCCCTGAAAGACAGTGTCTTTAATTGCTACCTGAAAGTCCTCCGGGGGGGGGGCTAGACAGTGATTGGGGAGGGAAGAGAGAGAGTTATTAATATAATGGCCGCCGGATTAGTGATTGCAAGATATTAGAAACTGAAGCATATGTTTCTATTGAGTTGTACAATGAAGTCTGGGAAAGAGCAGTTAATGATAAGTTGACATGGGATATAACATACCCTCTCATTTTCAGCCCCACTGGATGGGGCGTGCACTGGGTTCTGTTGCAACCAGAATCTAATGCGATTGCTGCGTGGAGGAGGAAGACAGCTGTGCATGCACCTAGTTCAGCAGGATCCTTAGATATAACATTTTAAAAGGAATTGCTAAAAGAGAATATGTTTGCTTAATTTTTTTTTTAATTTTCTGTTATTATTGAAAGGTAAAGGCCATCTAAGCAAGTGATAATATTATTTCAGAAAGCTTATGAGCATCACATCAAAACTTTGTATAAAATATACCTCTTTTGGTCTTGGTAATGGGTGCATTCATTTTAGCAGTTTTTTAAAAAATGTATTAAAGTATGTGAATTTCTCCAGGTACAGTTTGTAAAAACCAGATTTCTTAGTGTAGCATCAGATCTAGGAACATCCTGGTGATGCAAAACAAGATGACGAGGGAGGCAGATACAACCTGTTACGGATGACTCAGGCATAGATACGAAAGTCAGGGAAATGATAGGAAACCTTTCTGCAACTTCACATCTTTTCTTCCAATTCAAAGATTCTTCTAACTGGAATATTAAATAAATAAAATACATGTATAAAATAGCTCTGTGACTATGCCATTCGTGGTAAACAAATTAACTTTCCCCCCTAGTACCTATAACTACAACCCTGTCACTTGTTGACTGCGTGGCTTAGACAGTTTTGCTCATGTACTGAAAACATGCTTTGCGCAGTGTGATTGTTCACTCTTCAATAGAGAGAAATTGGTTTGGGGAGTGACTTTTTGTGCAACAAGGCAACAGCATGACATGGGATTCTCATGTATTGTCTCTAGGTCAGAGATGGAGTGCCAAATATCTCTACGATAAAGACTGGTTGAATAATGGCCACATGTGTGGTCTATCATTCTTAAAAGAGAACTATTCTCATTTAAATGCCAAAAAGATAGTGTCAACACACCACCTCCTGGCTGATGTTTATGGTGTTACTGAAATCCTGCGTGGGCTTCAGTTGAAGATTGGGATCCTGAAGTAAGTGTATGTTCTGGTGTTACAAATGGCTTTCTCTTGCTTATCTTGCTGTCCCCTGATAAAGATGAGGACAAGAAATTCTTTCATCTTCTCTCTCAATAGAACAACAACAAAAAGAAAAGAAAAAAGACTTTGCAGTCAAGTTGCATGGGTGGAGTGGTTCGGCAAAACTGTGATCACTTCCAGTGTGCAGTTGTTTGGAGTTTTGTGTCATGTGATGACAAAATGCTCATCCAAATGTATTCCATTAAAACAATCTTACTTCAAGGTCGTTGTTGTCGGGGTGCGACTTCTCTTGTTTAAGACAGTGCTTAAATTGATTCCAGTTCTGAAATTTGACCCCAAATTTCCTTTTTCTCTCCACCCAGGAATAAGCATCACCCTGACCTTCAGCTGTGGGCTTGTGCAGGTGTGAGGAAGGATCAAGACCAAAAAACTCTTGGAGTAGAAAGAAGGGTACTGGCTGTGCCAGATACCACTAACCCCCCTGAAAGGACGTGTTATGGTCAAAACCATAAACAGCCCCCTAGTTTACCCCAGAAGAAAGAAGAAACATACATTACAAGTGAACACAGTTACCAGAAACCCCAGAGTTTTGGTTCGGATTGCAGATTGGTGATGGGTCCCATGAGCTCAGATGAAGACGATGCCAGCAGTTTTGAGGATGATCAGGAAATTCTTTTAGAGGACAAAAACTGTTTGCAATATACATCTAAAGAAGATGGTTTCCGCCATCAGGTAAAACCAACCATTTGTCTGGATAACTTCCCGGATAGTGCTGCGGCACCCTAGAGAAGAGTTGAATGCATTGTTGCTGCTGATAAAGTGGGCTTTAATACACAGACGCTTCTATCGTAATAATTGGTTTCAGATTTCAAGTACAATATGATTCTTCATAATCTTTACTGTAACATACTAACATGGCTACTCCTCTGGAGGTCTCTCTGAGGTCTTTGTCGAAAGCTTTGCTGAAGGTATATTGCATTCACAGCATTTCCACTATCTACCAGGGAGGCTACCCAATAAAAAAAAATGAGATAAGGATTCAACATTTGCAATTTTGCAGGGGGGGGGGCTGTCCAATATCTAAGGGAGGGCAAAATGGCTTTCAGACACACACAGGCTGACCAGCCTTGTTGCAGATCTTCCTGTAACTCATGTGTACAGTGGCTTTAACTTTTACTCTGGTTTCCTGCCAGTCTAGCTGATCAAGTAGCATCAGTTGTGTAATTATCATAATAAGGTTTCAGGATTCTTTTATCAAAGATCACTGTGTTTCTGGCTGTGCATTTCAGAGTCTGGTGTGGAAATTGAAGCCTCACTTGATGTTCATCTGGTAGGTTCAGAAGGAACAACTAGATGAACCTTGACATTCTGGAAACTCTTCTATTGTTATTCACACTTCATTGGGTTACTTGAATCAATACAACCTTAGACTTGTTTATCCTTTCCTGTAATGGATCATGGGCATATGAACAGCCTGGGTAGGACACAGATTTTCTCTGGACAGGTAACTCTTCTGGGCCGGATGCACATAGCAAAATGTGTCTTAAGTGAAATAGATATGGTATTGACAAAAGCAGAAATTGCTGGGTTGACACAAAGCAAATTTCAAAATCTGTACTGAGGTTGTTACCTTTGCCAAGCCAAGCTGAAAAGCACAAGAAGTGTGCAGGCTTTTGAGAATAATGTTGACGTATCATCAGGTCAATTCTGACTGATGGTTGCTGTTTCCAGGGTTTTCCAGATAGAGAGTATTCAGAAGTAGTTTGCTGTTACCTTCTTCCGGGGGCATCCTGGGATTGTGCAGCTTGCCCAAAGCACACAATCTGATTCTACTTGCAAGAAGGCACAGTGGGGAATCAAACTCCCAACCTCTGGCTTCCCAGCCCAGATAGCTAAACTGCTGCCTTTCTATGACAAGATGCAAGAGGAGGAGGTGGGAGAGAAAAGTGGGGGAAGTCGTAACTGGCATCTTTTCCGCATGTTGTCTTGGGATATAATGGAAGAGGGATGTGTCGGCAGTGAAATGGGCCTCAGTGCTATCCCATTTCATCAAAGGTAGTCCCCGTGACCTCTGAGAAGTTAGAAACTTTTGATACTCCATCACAGACAAGGTAAGTCCCAAAAGTGTGAACTCAAAGCTCTGACCATCTTTTGTGGTCCAACGGGGGCCCTACATTGTTGAAAAAGAGAGAGAGCCGCCACTGCAGACTCTTTTAACATTGTCAGTTCTGGAGATAGTCTTAAGTAAATGAAGTCAATCTTGTTCTGATTCATAGCGATGCTATGAACATCTTCCAGCCCTAGAAGTTGCCTAGAACACCCCCCACCCCACCCCAGCTGGCACATTTCTGGGACTGGGAGAAACCAGAAGGCCAAGGAGATATCTTCCTCCATTTCTGCTGTCTTTCTCTCCATGTGGTTCAGTTGGAGAGAGGAAGGAAATGCCCATTTACTCCCCCTGCTTCCTGGGAAATCTCATTAATCTATGAATGAGATAGTCTTGCTATCCCATTAGACCTCTCCCTGAACTTGCCCTCCCACTGAGAAGCTGTGCAACCAAGGGAACAATCCCTTTTCTTTTTTGGCAGCCAAACCACATGGGGTGACACAGGCAATGGCAGCAGACATCTCTTTTCCTCTCAGTTTTCTCCTCTCTCGAGTCCCAGAATTTTGTGTGGGATTCCCTGAATTGCAAGAGATCCCCCCTCCCCTGTTCTGGCAACTGGAGTCCTTCAAATTAACTTTTCCGAGCTCTGAATCAAATACACATTTTAATAGAGTGTTGGCGCCTGAGGGAGTGTTATCGTTGCAGACAGGGAAGCAGGGGAAATGCGAGTCAAGGCATGATATGCTGCTGTGGCTGAAGACTACTGCAGATGTGCAGATATTCTTACGTCATAGGACATGTTGATCATATATGTTCAGTCTTTTGCTTACAAAGGGCAAGTATTTTGCCTTTTTAAAAATGAATAGATAAAGAAAATAATGAAACAAACTTAAGTATCTGCGTTTCATATCCTCCTCTAAGATAATAAAGCCTAGGCTAATTCATTAGAGGCCTTTTTGATTATAAACTGGAAAAGTTTTAAGCATATACCTAACTCTGGTCAGAACTTGAAAACTAGTGGAGTCCAGGCATAAGTTGCTGAGTGTCTCCTACACTTTTACTGCTAGCCTGTATTGCTAGATCCCGAGTGTACAGTATTGGAGAACGTTGGTTATCAGGGGCATGACTGTGCTTTAATAGCCTTTGTTATGGTTTGCCTTAAAGTATGGTTTGGCAGCAGAAAGATCACCTTGCTTGCCCTCTCATTCTGCTGTGTCATTCCGAGACTGCCGTTCTGCTTAATCACACTCGGGCAGCTGTATGCAAGTGGCTTCAACCGTGACCTGGCTGTGGAAGGATCTTGTGCAATTCCAGCTTCAATTTGTGATTAAGCTTTTTCTGCTAACCTTGTCCTGTTTTTTTTCTGGTAATATAGAGGCATTCTGCTGAAGGGAACACTGTGTTTGTATTTAATGAGAAAAGAGGCACCGAAGAACATGTGGACTCTCGGCTTCAGTGGCAGCTAAACCTCCTCACCCACATAGAGAATGTACAGAACGAAGTCACAAATAGGATGGATCTGATTGAAAAGGAAGTGGATGGTAATTATCAAAATCACTGAGAATGTAGATTTAATTTCTAATCCTCCCCGTCCCATAGGCGAAAACTTTGGAAAAGTTCATTAAAAAAAAAAAACAACAACAACAACAGCGCAGCCAGTGGCCATGTTGACTGGCGGATGCCAGGAACTAGCAGTAAAAAAGTGGATTTTCCAAAGTAGCGAGCCACAAAAATGGTGGTTCATGGTGGTTTGTGGCTACTGAGGAATTATGAACCATCTTAACTTTTTAAAAAACAAACCATGAATTAGTTCGTTAAAAAAACATTATCACACTTTAAAAAATTAAACTAAACCCCCTCCACCATCCCACTCTCCCCACCCTCTTCCCACTGACCCCATTGTTTCCTCACTGACCCCCCCCCTCACCTCCCTACCTTGTCTGGCTGCCGCCTCCTCTTACTGCACCTCCACCATCTTGAAAGATGGTGGAGCTGGGCCAGCTGTCTCTGCGCATGGGTCTGCCTGTCATAGGGAGGGAGGTGACAGGGCACTGGGAAGAGGGTGGAGGCAGTGGGAATGAACCAGGAAGTTTGTTAAAATTGCTGAAAAAGTTTGTGGTTTGGGTCATTTGGGGATCACAGGGTCCGATGAAACTGAACTGACCCAAATCAAGAAACCAGCAATTTTTAACAAACTTCCTGGTTCCTTTTTAGGTTTGTGCCCAGCTCTTTTCCAAAGTCTGGAAAGCACCCCTCCCCGGGACTAGACTTTTTGAAAAATAGATCTAATGGAACTCTTTTTAGTCTTTCTATCAAAAAAAATGGCAGCCTGTTGGTGGATGTTTGTAAAGAAAATCTGATGTTCTAAGTTATTTCTAAAGCCATCATAGAAGCAAGCTTTGCTCCTTCCTACCATCTCCTTATCTCATATGACTGCATTTTCCATTTTTGCCATCCTGAAATTTGCTGTTGCATCTGAACCCAAATTGTGGGTATTTCATACTACCTGTATTTTTTCAACAAGCTAAGCCAAGATCAAACCATGCTTCCCAAGTCATGTTTATTTGTGTAAGCCTTAATTAATACTAACCATAGTTTCTTGGTCAGATGTTGCAACTTGGTGTGCTTAGTTGAAAATGGAAGGGATTTTATGCAGGCAACCTGGTGACCATTATCAAAGAAGGAGGGGTTAGGGAGAAGTTGCACTCCTAATACTGCCTCATAGCTTACTATTATTCCCTCCCCGGAGTCAGAGTATTATTCTGTCTAATTGAATATATGTTGTTTTTATCTGTAGTATTAGAAAGTTGGCTTGACTTCACTGGAGAACTGGAGCCTCCCGATCCACTCGCACGACTGCCTCAGCTCAAGCGCCGAATCAAGCAGCTCATATCAGACATGGGGAAAGTCCAGCAGATAGCGACCCTTTGTTCAGTATGACAAAAGGAAGGGCGAGGGATACAAGTAGACTGTCATAATGAGTTTCGTAGGATCCACAAGACTGTTGAAAGGGTAGTTTATCAAAAGATGTCTGAACGCGACTCCTTGCTCTGTGCTGGCTCTCTCAGGATGCTGAAGATCTAGAGGAAAGAAAGAAGAAAACTGCAGCCATCCAACCAATAAGATCTGCAAGCTGGTGAAACCAATGCTGTGATTGCTTCTTCTTCTTCTCTCTCTTTCTCTCTCTATATTATATACAGTGATGCAGAAATCTCTACAAAGAAATGTTTTATATGTTTTTACAGACTGTGCTAGGGGTGAAACCCTCAAAACTATTGAGTTGTTTAAATGCCTGCTAAAGTAAGCTGCATTGGATGAAGGAATGAATTGCAATGTTTCCTTTCAGCGCTGATCTAAGAACATCTTCCTGCTGGTTATCTCGAAGGATGGAAAATTGAACCAATGCCTATTTTGTCCTTGTGTGGCGGATATGACAAATAGTAGCTTTCTTTCTTTTTTTAAAAACAAGACTTTTCTGCGGTGGCCTCTCCATGAATATTATTTTTCTAACAAAATCTTCCCTGCGTCTGTGCTCCTTCTTAGAAAAAATGGGAGGAGGAGGAGGAGAAGTGCCAAATAACACTTTCAGAAACCACTGAAAACAAGAGCATGCATCACTTGGAAGTGTGTTTCTCTTTTCTTCCCAGGCCCCACCTCTCAGCAGAATCCTCAGTATATCTGCCGGCGAGCTATTCCGAAGTGTACCTAGTTCAGCCTTGTGTCAGCCAAAATTGAAATGTCCACCATCTCACTTTGAAGGTTCTTCAACCATTCTTAGATTTCGTAAACATGCCCGGAATTGAACTGATTAACGTTAGCACTCTGGAAGTATTCATTATCCTCAGCTGGATTGAGGAATGACAATGAGCATCCAAAATGCCGGTGGTTGGCAATCAAATAAGGCCACATCTAATGTTTAACATTTCTAAGACTCCTTTGGGGAGGGGGAATCATAAATGGAATTTTTTTTGGAGGGGGGGAGGGGAGAAACATGCAGAAAACTCCCTGTGAGGTAGACTGGGTTGTACATCATAGCACTTGGAATGGCTGAGCACTACTTTTGCCCTTGTCCAAATTAAAAAAAAAATCCCACACTGTCTGGAACATGGAGTGACCTTCTGGGTCGCTCCCCATCATGAAATCATTGTTTGGAGATCACTCCCTTCTAAAGTGGCTATAATGAAAACCCATTATCTGTTAGAAGCATTCAGTTCTCATTTGGGCAAAGCTATGTAAAACCAAAGTCAACCTAGTTGCCGTTTTTTTTAAAGAAAAGTTTCTGGACCAGGTCCAGATTCATTTTACCTTTGTTGGTCTGCATTCTTGCTGTACCCAGTGGTATAATTCACATATTACAACATATGCATGTATGTGTGTGAAAGGCACATGCGCATACTGCATTCTAGACAGATTTCTATTGGCAAGTCTAGTTTTATTACAATAGACGTCAGATCTTGGTGACAAAATATTTATAAAATGTTACCTTTTAACAAACAATTTCTAAAAGAAGAAAGAAGATGGAAATAATGTATGTACAGGTTTTGAAATTTGTAAAAAAAATAAAATAAATTTTTTTTTAAAAAAAAATGAAAAATATTGACTGTTCCAGAAGAGTGAAGACAGCACAAAATACTTGAACTCTTTATGCCTCCATAGATGACTTTTTCAGTGCTGGCGATCTGTATAGAAAAGTATGGGAAGTGTGTGATGAGCAGTAAACTTGAAGCTCCCCTTGGATTAGAGTACAAGCCACTGTACATTACAAATGTATTTAAATTTGCAGATACACTGTTCTATATGTAAGGTACTGTATGTAAAGCTGTTTATTAAACAATTCTGCATATTCTTCATTCTTCAACTCTTCTCGTTCATCTCCTTAAAGGGGAGGGATTAAAGGAATTAAAGATTGCCACATGTGATTCTAAATACGCTATTCAGAATGTATTCTTGAAGGCTTTCACCACTGGGATCTGATGGTTGTTGTAGGTTTTTCAGGCTGTGTTCTGGAGGTTTTTCTTCCTAATGTTTTGCCAGTCTCTGGGGCCAGCATCTTCAGAGGACAGGAGTTGGAACTCCTATTCGAGTTAGAACTTCTATCCAGAATGTTGAAGAATGTACCTCTGAATATTTGGTTGTGGACTTTGATATGAATGAATCAAACAATTTTTCCATCATTCCTAATATTGGGTATTCCCAGCATTGTAATTTGGCATCCTTTGGGTTAGATACGGCCAAGTGTGAAGTTTTGTTCTTCTGCATGTAAGACGAGTGCTGCCATTGAATGAATGATTCAGCGGAGACATTACCTTTGGCTGGTTTTATTTCACCTTCATTCAGACAGATTTTTTAAAATATAAATTTGAGTGACTTTCTGGGGTATTATTTAACCCCCCTGAGAATTCCGGAGCCTTGAAGCCAGGTGCCTTGTGTTAGCCATTCTGTTCCCTGTACCTCTTAAGTGACCATTCCAGGTCCCTTTTCCTCACCCTACAACATGGCCAACCTGCTGACAACCAGAATATTCACTTTTATTTCTCAAAATAAAGCTTTCCTGGGAAACAGCATGAAACCCTTTTTTGTCCTGATACTTTACATTCACTGGAAGGGGTGTCATGAATGGCAAAATGTAGTAGGTAAGGCAAGACCAGGTTTCTCCACCTCGATTTTCGCAGGTAAAAGAAAAACGACATGACAAATGGCCGAAACTGGGTCATGGTTTGTAACTCTTCAGAGAACAATGTTGTAAAATGCTTGAGTAGGTCAATTTCTGGAGCAAAGCATGACTATAACATTTGGTCCTCCTGGATGATGCTGAAAAATAAGTGAATAACCTGCTTGTGGCTTCCACAATCACTAGGTTTTGCCCATTTGGGGATAAAAATACACCAATGTTTGCAAAGAACCTTGTTCTTTTTTTTAAAAGGCAGTTGTCCCTGTTTTGGGATGCAATTAAATATCACAGTGATTCAGAAGCAATGCCTTGTTCCATTGTTTGTAATCCACATGTGGAGTCAGTCTCCTGATAGCCATCCAGGGTCTTCAAATTCTTTGATAATCATTCTTCCTGCTTACTCTGTATACAGAACTCAACCTCCTTTTCCATGATAGAGGGCAGCTCCTGTCAGTAAATGCAGTCAGGAAAACTGCGTACTGGCATGTGTACTTACGCAGATCCACCACAGCATGTGCGGACAAATATAAGAAACAACACAGAGAAGCTAGCAAAAGGAGGGACTGAGATGGGACATTATTTTTCGGAAACGGTCATGCTCATCACCATCTATATGTGTCAGATGCAACTCATTCAGAAGCGTTATGTGAGGAACATCCTGGTTTCAACTCAACCTTAAGCTGCTTGGCCAGGATTTATAGGCTCTCACATACGAAGCTGGCTGTGTTTGTAACCCTCATACACGTTCATGAGGCTTTTTGTGGCAAAGGAGCGTTGCATTTTAATCTTTGAAATATGTAAGTGGTCCCCAGCAAAATGTTTCTGGTTCACTTAGCAGATGATTCCATATATTAGCACGGCCAATTACACTTCATTAAATTGGGTGGGAAGGCTACTGTGAGAAATAAATCTTTCCTGAAGCTTCCCTGAAGCCCACCCAACCCTCACTCTGGGGCTTACACCACTTCCTCCTTTCTTGCTGACTCATTAGAGACAGGAAGCATCAGTTCTTGTCTGCTGAAAACCTGTGTTGACCCAGAAGCCGGCCCTCTTGACACTTGACAGTTGTTTATCCCAGTATTGACAATCTGTAATATGGTTTGAAATGAAAGTTAAGCAAGCGTGTCCTTCATGGAAGTGGTCCCAAGATTAATCTATGCTATTTCCAGTTCAAAATACCTTGATTAGCACAGCTGGAGAACACAGTTTCGCCCAAGATGCTGGAGGCTTACAGACAGTTATAGCAGAAAATAGCAGGCTGGGTAGATCAGCGACAAAACCCTGTAGGGCAGCTTCATATGATTCAGCTATGAAAAGCTACTGCAGTGAATTAAGCCTGAGATAGTTCTGCTTATGCTAAATCATGGGCATGGTAGAGGTGGAATCACTAAGACAGCAGCTAAGGCTTTTACTGCTGTGTTAAGTCCCGTTGGCTCAATATCTACTCTAGTTGGAAGAAACCATTGGATCCGATGCCATTACATCTTTAGTGTTAAAAATTATTGGGATCATACTCTTAGATGCAAGTGTACATGTACTTGGAATATTCGCCAGATTCAGACAAAGGCCAGATTAAAAGCCCACATTTTGATCAGTTCATGTGAGGTCTGGATAGAATCGTGATGACCAGAAGTTGGAAGTTTACTCCCCTCCTTAGGATATCATGAAGAAGAAGAATTACATGCCAGCTAGTCAGCTTCCACTTATAGTGCCCATACCAGGGTTTTCTAAGTACTGTGTAAAATAATTAGGAGTGATTTACTTGTCCCTCCTGGTGTTCTGGGACCTTGCAGCTAGCCCAAGACCACAGAGATGTCACAAAGCATAACTTCCATCAGCCACGCATTCTCCAGGTGATCTAAGCCGCTCCTTTCCCTGGCAGGCACAGTGGCTATTTGAATGAGTGTTCTAATTTGCTGAGTTTGTACCAGCCCCACAAATTCCAAGTTCCCCTCCTTAGGATATCATGAATCCGACTCTTCGTGACCCCATGGACCAGAGCACGCCAGGCCTTCCTGTCATCCACTGCCTCCCAGAGTTGTGTCAAATTCATGTTGGTTGCTTCGATGACACTGTCCAACCATCTCATCCTCTGTCATCCCCTTCTCCTCTTGCCTTCACACTTTCCCAACATCAAGGTCTTTTCCAAGGATTCTTCTCTTATGAGATGGCCAAAGTATTGGAGCCTCAGCTTCAGGATCTGTCCTTCCAGTGAGCACTCAGGGTTGATTTCCTTTAGAATTGATAGGTTTGTTCTCCTTGCAGTCCAGGGGACTCTCAAGAGCCTCCTCCAGCACCACAATTCAAAAGCATCAGTTCTTCGGTCAGCCTTCTTTATGATCCAGCTCTCGCTTCCATACATCAATAGTGGAAAAACCATAGCTTTGACTATTCGGACTTTTGTTGGCAAGGTGATGTCTCTGCTTTTTAAGATGCTGTCAAGGTTTGTCATCGCTTTCCTCCCAAGAAGCAGCCGTCTTTTAATTTTGGGGCTGCTGTTTCCATCTGCAGTGATCATGGAGCCCAAGAAAGTAAAATCTGTCACTGCCTCCATATCTTCCCCTTCTATTTGCCAGGAGGTGATGGGACCAGTGGCCATGATCTTAGTTTTTTTGATGTTGAGTTTCAGACCGTTTTTTGCACTCTCCTCTTTCACCCTCATTACAAGGTTCCTTAATCCCTCCTTACTTTCTGCCATCAGAGTGGTATCATCTGCATATCGGAGGTTGTTGATATTTCTTATGGCAATCTTAATTCCGGTTTGGGATGCCTCCAGTCCAGCCTTTCGCATGATGTATTCTGCATATAAGTTAAAGAAGCAGGGAGACAATATACATCCTTGTCATACTCCTTTCCCAATTTTGAACCAATCAGTTGTTCCCTATCCAGTTCTAACTGTTGCTTCCTGACCCACGTTTAGGTTTCTTGGGAGGTAGGTAAGGTGGTGAGGCACTCCCATTTCTTTAAGGACTTTTCATAGTTTGCTGTGGTCCACACAGTCAAAGGCTTTTGCATAGTCAATGAAGCAGAAGTAGATGTTTTTCTGGAATTCCATGTACATCGTTGCAATACCAATAAATGTTTCAGCTTGGTGGCTGATTTCAGGCTAGCATAGAACCTGAATGCAAATGTAAATCAATTTATAAATGCATGTGCTGATGAAGCAACCAAAGTTCTAAGAACCATTTCGGTTTTCTGGTGCACACCGATAGGAGGCTGGCTTGCAGGTCAATCATTCCACATCAAATCAGGATACATTCCAAAGCCCATACCTGTTTTTCAAATCTGATTAAGGGACGCTTGTACAGGCCAAACATAAATAACGTAATATATGTATTATCCTCTCACCCCCTCATTTTTAGGGGATGCTGATTAAACCAAACCCTGGAAACTACACATGTTTCATGCTTGATGCCTCTCTAGGGCTGACTCCCCTTTGAAGTGGCTGGATGTACTTTTGTACCTGGTACAAAAAACGGTAAAGAAATTCAAGGTGGGGGGGATGATTCAGCTCAGTGGCTCTTGTGCCTTGTTTGGAAACAAAACCTGCATCATTCTCCTCCTTGATCAACTAGTCTTCCATTTCAGGAGCAAAAAGTATTCGAGTGGAAGCCATTATATAAATGTGGCCCAAACCAGCACAAGATACATTTTCTCTGCCCAGCATGGAGGTGCCGGGCAGAATGCCTACATCCCTGATGAGCCCCCTACTTTTCAGCGCTGTTCTTTGTTTTATGAGCATAGCATCAGCCAACATCTTTGGTAAGTCAGACTCCATTCATTCTTTTATATGCCAGGGCTTCCTGAAGGTGAAATAATAGAATTCTCTGAGCACTTAGGCATAGTACAGTTTAGGCTTTGTCTCTACCTGTTCAGGTGCCAGCATGCTGCATAAAAGACCATTTTGCATTTGCCTAATTGGAAAATCAGATGGAAATCCTTGCAAAACATAAAATATGCCCTGGCGACATATAATTTCTGTATGGTGTTTTTTTTTTTAAAGGAGAAGTAAGTCGCTCCAGGCTTAATTACACATAAGAAACCAGGGGAGCTTTCATAATTAAATGATTGGTGTAGATCGTGTATAGAGTACATTAGCAATTCAATTATGAAAAAAGAGGTTTTGCATTAAAGATCAGTAGCCAGCTACAACAGTAATGAACTTATTTTCTTCCCATAAGATGATAAGCAAATATTTCAGGGTAGGTAACACATGGCCCTCCTACTGTTTTGGGCTCCGACCGCCATGACCCCTGGCCATCGGCCACGCTGACTGTGGCCAATATGATTTGTAGCCTACTAGAACATCTGGAGGGCTGCAGGTTACAACCCCCTTTGGTACACTTGCTGGTGTGGGCTGGAGATCTGAAGGTGGACAAGCCACCTTATCCATGTCACCAGGATGGTAATGATGGAGAAGAGATAGGCGTTCATGCTTCTAAGTTCCTCTTCAGCAGTTGTCACCTCATGCCCCTCTCCAGTGAAATCATTTAACAAGGGACATCATGCCACTGAAAATCTCAGAAATTGACTCCTTGCATCAGTTCACCACTTCTCACCAAACGCAAAGCAATTGTCACGACTGTTTTTCAAGAAGCATAAATGGTAGTCAGCAAAAGAGGGTACCCTGTAGACAATCATCCCTCTACGTTTATGTCCGGTTGTGCGGGAGCCTTGCTCCATGTGTGCAGGGGTGTGCAAGGCTTCATTCAAAACTGGAAGCAAACAAGCTGGCTGTCAGCTGCCCGTGTGCAACCCCAAGGGAGTTATGGGCAAGCACAGCTTAGGGGAAATATGTCCTGTAGACCTTCTTCTATACCTCTGCCATTGGTGTCATCAACATTCAGGCTGCCCTCTGCTGGGTAAAACTTGGCATCCTTTTTCTTGCTGGCAATACAATATCGGGCCATTTGCTGGTGTTTTGAATCATGTAGACAGAAGCACAATATCCCACATTTGTAATCCAGAGGTTTTTTAAAAAAAGAATTGGAATTGTTTTATAGAGCTCTGTAACCCGGCCAGAGATTCTGTGAAACAAGAGAGAGCTATAAATGTCTTAAATAAAACAAATGAACAAATAAATAAATAATGGTGAGAGCTTCCATTGGTACAGTATTTGGAAGCACACTGTACTGGGTGCCAAAGAGAATTTTTATATATAGATATATAAATGTAAGTGTGTGTGTGTGTGTGAGAGAGAGAGAGAGAGAGAGAGAGCATATAACCCCTGCTAGCTCATTGTGATGGGGCTATGAGGGACTTCTACCCTTTTTGCTCCTTTCAGAGTATGAGGCAGAAACTCAACCTCTTCGGCCTTGTGAGCTTCAGAGGGAGAAGGCTTTCAAGGGAAACGAAGACTATATCCCTCAGTGTACAGAAGATGGACAGTTCAGGTAACTGTTTTCTAGGAGCACCAGAGAATTCACACATTGGGAACAAGATGACACTAGAAAATCATGACCAGCTCTCCGTATCTCTCTGCTACTAGAATTTTTTTTCTGATGCCCTCTGCTGAGTCACATTGGTTCATCTAACTCTGTATTGCAGACTCAAAATATCAGCAGCAAAAGAGCATCCCTTGATAACTAAGATACAAGTAACCCGGGACGAGTGTGTTCTACTGGTTTTTGCTGGCTGGGAGATTCTGGGAATTGTAGTAGAAAAAAAGTAACTTTTCTAAGCTCTGCCATTGGATTATGTCTCCCTTCTCTTCCCAATCTGTCTTGCCTGCATTTGTCACATTAGCCTGATCAATGTACCATAGAATGAAGTGGTGGTGTCTAGTTGCTTCTACACTCAAGTGTTGTACTTGTTTAATGCTGCCTCTAGGCTCCCTTCTATGGAATCCTGGGAGTTGTAGTTTGGTGAGGTAGAGTTCTCTGCTAAAGCACTCGAATGCTGTAGTTCGGGGAAATGCACAAGAGCTCTTTAGCAGAGAATTCTAAGTGTTTCACCCAACTACAAATATCAGAACTCTTTAAGATGGTGTCATGGCAATTAAAGAGGTGTTAAGTTGCTGTAATGCTATAGTATAGCTAGATTCCGGTCCAGAGATGGAAGACTGGAATATGCCTCTTTGGAACTCTTTAGAACACTTTCCCACATTAAAACAGAAACAACAAAAACTTCCTGTGGGTAAACAAAATGAAGAAACCCTAATGTTCCTGGCAGATACATTTTCAGCCCCACCTGCTTTTTTGGTGTTAGATTTCTGCTTGCAGGGAGGCATGCAAGTTTACATTCAAAAATGTTGTTCTTTTGCCTACATTTTCAAGTGGCCCAGTATTTTCAGTCACTCTGATTCCCACCTTACTCTACTGCCTTCCTGTTTTAACCTTCCTTAGGTTTGCTCTTAGGCAAATAAGTGTTTGAGAGCTAGCTGCCTTAGATTGCAATGTTATCTATTTACAGTAGATATGTATATACTTACAAACAGTTTGACATGTTTCTATTACATTCAGTTTCTATGCAAGTCCTTTTCCGTTACATAGCAATGGTTGCCTTTATGATTAGATTGTTGACCTTTCTTGAATGATACTATGGCTGCTACCTTTTGGAAGATGTCCAGTCGTCCTTGAAGATTTCTCTAACACCAAAGTCTTGTAGCCTCTGAAATATAGCTATATTTGCCTAACGGTGCTGGAAATCTCTGCTTCTCTTTATTAGGAACATGCAGTGTAATAAAAACGGCAGTGTCTGCTGGTGTGTAGATGACAAAGGAGCTGAAGTATCAGGCACTAGGCAGTCTGGATCACCTTTGGCTTGTAAGTCAACCATTGTTGTACCTTTTTCATTTAAAACACAAACCCTCCTTTGATGGCACCTTTGCACCATCATCCAAAGCGATCAGACTGAAGTGGAAAATGTCCTGTTTCATTTGGATAGATTTGTCTTGCATCAGGCAAGAAAGCAGGGCCACTATCCAAGGATGTCATGGTTGGCAAGCCCTAGGATCCATTGGCCATATTAGCTGGGGGATTCTGGGAATTATAGTATGAACATATACCCTCCCCTATTTCCAGCCCAATCCCACAAGTGTCCTGCAATCATAGGTTCCCCTTCTCCTCGCAGCTGCTTTTCTTAGTATTGCCACCATGTCCCTTTTATTCTTTCTCTGTTAAGTGAGCAGCCAATAGTGCCAAGGAAAAGCAACACAGCAAGAAGACGAAGACAGGCCCATTGAGAGTGCCTTGGCCAAGGTCCCCCCACATACAATACAAAAAAAACAACATTGCAAAAAAGGGGGGCATTCCCTAGAGTACAAGAAGGCCATCTTTCAGGGCCAAATATTACAAGATGCCAGCTTTACGCTTAGAAGCAGAGCTTCCTTAGGAGGCAAAGGGCATTTGTTTTTTCTACCATGAAATTTCTGTAGCTCTGCAAGTTGCAAACTGGCTTATTTTTGTTTGGTGAATAGTCATTGGAAAGATAACTATGAACTTCTTTTGCAAGTTGACTGTACAGGCATGGCAGGTTTGAAGGAACACATCTCTAGATTGCTAAAAGATTTATCCCCTTCTTTAGAAGCTGGCATTTCACATAGTCTGGCCTTCAATATTAATTTTGTAGTGCTTCCTGCAACCCAACCTTTTAAGGTAAAAGGCAGGGTAAAAATATTTTAAATAAATAAATAAACCTGCATTTCCATTACATGCTTGTTTTGCATCAGGTTTTTATTTGTGTGTATATTGTCAAACACTTGGTGTACACTTCTATATGATTGGTTTTTTAAAGCATTTATTTATTACTTCTCAGCCCAGAGGCTTTTCCTAATGCACATACTTGAATTTTTTTTAAATTAATACGTATATTTTAAAAATCATGTTCCCTGGTGACTAAAGCATAACTATATCTATTTCAGTGATATTTATATTTGTGCATTTATTTGTATTTTTTAAGTGATGGTGGAAAGTGAATTTGACGTTTCCAGATAAAATGAAAGCAAACAATATATGCATGCGTTCATTAACCATTTTCCAAATCACTTTTTTAAAATTATCCAATGATAATTTTTCTTCCATGAATAGTTTTGTACACTTTGTCCTTGAGTTGTTTCATGTTTATCATTGCACAAGGACTTGTGCACACTGCAATTAATTTAAGAGAGCTTTCATGTAAAGAGCATCTGGAAATGCCCAAGCTTGACAAATGCCTCTTTCTTCCATAGGTTTATCCTTCTGCCAGCTAGAGAAGCAACGAATCTTAGTCAGTCGTTACATCAACAACAGTGCAACCTCCTACATCCCCCAGTGTCTGGATTCTGGTGAATTTGACCCAATCCAGTGTGACTTGGGCCTCATACAATGCTGGTGTGTTGACCCCGAAGGGATGGAGATTTATGGCACCAGACAAAAAGGCAAACCAAAGCGATGTAAGTTAAAGATGTAAGGTATAATCACCATTTCCCCATCTCATTGAAAAAGTTGTCCACTCTTATGAGATTTGTTGCTTGTGTGATGAGAGAGAGAGAAACCTTGTGATTTGCACTAAAAGCTGAATGCAGGGTAAAAATATATTTTTGCACAAAATACATTTTTTGCACAAAATGCATGAAGTTTGAGCTTGTTGCAAAAAAATACTTCTGTGATTTTTTAAAAAGTATCCTACCACGTGAAAAATTCATAAGAGGTCTAGTAATTGCAGCCAAACCAGAAGAGAGAATTCTTCAGATTTTTCATTCTCACTTTGAGGAGTGAAATAAGCAAAGGCTGTGGCAGGGAAAATGACTGCAGGCAAACAGGTTCCCTCCTGATCCTCCCCAACAAAATTTAAATAAACAGAATTGAGCAGGATGGAGTGGGGGAAAAGGCAGATTTAGATCTACTGGTACATCTCCAGCTATTTAGAAGTAGCTCAGCAAGGATTTCAGACTCCGTATGGCTTAACAGTGAGAGCAACAGAATGACCCCCAAATGTATGGGAGGACACAGTTAGTACCAAAACTTCAAGCAAATTCCTGGGCTTTGGATTTTTTTCACTCAGAGGTGAGAATCCTGCTTAGTTTTATCATGCACACAAAACTTCCTTTCCTTTCTCATCCTTTCCCATTTCCTTTCTCATCATTTGTTGAAATGAAAACCTCCCACCTCCTTGTGTATGCTTTGAGTGTTTCTGGCTCAGGCTGCTGGGAGCCAGGCAAACAGGGTGCTCTGTTCACAGAGTATTTGCACTCTGATGTGCCAAGGGGGTGCTGTTCTGAGTACCTCCCTTTTGCATTTGGCCCTGATTTCGGGATGCTATTTTAAAAAATGTAGATCCACAAGTCTGGAATCTAATCTCTCGACCTGGAAAGTTTATAACAAATCTTACAAGAACTCTCAAAAGCATACGACCAACAGCTTGAAAGAGAAAGCACCCTAGCTAAAAGTTCAATGTCTTTCCCCTGCGATACTTCTTTGGTAAGATGTAATTTGTTCATTCATCCACAATATTCATAGCTCAGCTTTCATGCAGTGAGCTCAAGGCTATATACCTCACTCTCCTCCTTTCCACTCTATGGACACACCAATCCTGCGAAGTTGGTCAGGCAGAAAGAAAATGCTTGCATGCCTCAGTGAGGTCCAAAACAGGCATTGCGGTTTGCACATTATTAGGAAAAGAGGTAAAGAGGTCTATTTACCCATAACACGAGTTTGTCTCTTTCTGCAAGTTCCAGATTATCTTGTTTTTCCCTTCTGATTGGTCATGGAGAGGTAAACAGGGACATCATTCGCAAATCTAATTGCCCATACATGGAGCTTTGAAGGAATTGTGTGACTAGAAGGGAAATGCTGTTATTCACTGACCTGACCTTTAGTTTCATGGTGAAGTAATGGTTTTAATCTGGATTTCTCAAGTCCCAAGCAAAGAGTGTAACTATGACACCCCACTGGGTCTTGGATCTAAAATAATCTTTGCCTTCCAAGCCACCACCCGCACTGCATACACTCGTGGAAAGCCTGATGTCACAGCAAATCTGATTCACTTGCCCATCAGGTCCTGGGAAATGTGAGATCCGAGACCGCCGCGTTCTTCATGGTGTTGGGGAAAAAAGCCCTCCCCAGTGTTCACCCAATGGGGAGTTTCTGCCCGTTCAGTGCAAGTTTATCAACACAACAGACAGGATGGTCTTTGATCTTGTCCACCATTTCAACAGGTAAGTGGGACACATTTTTTATATACCATGCGGCTGATGGTAAGAACTAGGCAATGGCATTCCAACTTTCAGGATGTCTTGGAAACTGGATGCTTTGAAACAGAGGGTAGTTCTTGCCATGATCCAAAACTAGACCACCCCTCTATCTAACACGTGCCAACATCTGAAGAGACATCTGAAGATCTAGCTGGCACTGATCTATTGTCCTTAAAGGAATGTAACCACAAGCTTTCTGTGCAAAATCCTTCCTACATATTCACATAACTTGTCAAATATCGGGTTGTGCCACTAGATGTCACAGGAGGATCAGTGTTACACATGTGGTTAGAAGGACACTTATTTTCTGAATCAATGATCGGGACCCAAGCTGTGAACAAAATGGAGCAGAGCTGTGAAAAGTTGGGTGTTTGGACTACAAATCTCAGAATCCCCAAATATGTTTTGGATTACAGTGCCCAAACCCCCCAGCCAGTGTGTCTGGTGTCCAAACACTGAAAGGAAACATCCCGTTCTTCTTCCTGTGTTCTTCCCATGTATCTATTGTTGGGGTCTGTATCATCATCACCATCATCACCACCACCACCATGGTCATCATCATCCTCAAACTGCTGAGTTGTAAGGAACCCTATGGATCATTGAGTCCAGCCCCTGTTTTTTTTTTAAATTTGATTTATGTCCCGCCTATCTGGTCTTGCGACCACTCTGGGCGGCTTAAGGAGGCACAGTGTTAAGGAGGCACAGTGGGGAATCAAGCTCTTGATTTTTCTAGCAGTTCCTGTGTGAGACTGTTTTAGGGCTAGGGCACATAATCTTCTGGAAGCAACTGAACTGAAAAATCATCATCATCATCATTGAATGCATCTATTTTGGGATGACGACGAACAACGATCCTTAATCGGAGAACTCATACCATGGTGCTTGGTTCAGCATAATAAGAGAAGAGAGACTTTCATCAATTCTTATCTGCCTTGATTAGTGACAAAAAAGCAGACACCCGGGATGAGATGGCTAGCAAACAGAAGAATCCCTGTGTTTAGGCTGTTTGACATCTTACTTGGGTTTGCTGAAAGCTAGAAATGGATGGGCAGTTGGAATCCCTGGCAGAAAACAACTCATTCTATACATCTAGCGGAGAATTCAAATCCTGCTGTAGAACAATCTAGCACCAATTTTGGTGAGCCAGGTGTTCATGATCGAAGAGGGACCACAAAAAGTTTACCAGGACATGTTCTTTTTTTAATATAGCCACCACATGGAGCTGGTGGAGCATGTGTGATGGATGTTCTACATGTTAGGTTGATTTTGCTGCCCAAGCTGGGCACTTGATATACAGAGTGTGGGAACACCATCGCACTCGAGATGTTGATGGAATCCCATCAACCCCAGCCAGTACAGGGAATAGGTGGATTGATGGTCATTGTGATCCACATATCTGGAGGGTGGTGGATTTCCCCACTCATGTCACCTATACCTGAGAACTCCCTGCTCAAGTAGGAACCAAGGGTGTGTTGCATTATACATGCTGCCCTGTCTTTCCACACCCCAAACATTGTTCTTTGGAAGGTATTGTTGGTGGCCAAGTTGCAGAGTGCTTTGGTGTCTCTAGCTTTTGTGAACAATCCTAGTTTTGGTCACCTTGTGACTTCCCATTGCCTGGAAAAAAAATCTACCACTTTAATAAATTTCTTCTTTTCCAAAATTTGTGTTTCCAAAAAGAAATGCTGAGAAAGCTGCCAATGTCCCCAGGACCCACCGTATCTCCTAATGGACTGATTTTTTCTTTCAGGTTCCCAGATGCCTTCCTAACCTTTAGTTCCTTCAGACAATTTTACCCTGATATCTCTGGCTATTGTTACTGTGCCGACAGTCTAGGCAGAGAGTTAGAGGATACAGGTAGGTACCTGCCATATCTTGTAGGATCTCTTCAGAAGTAACTTTATCTGTGTTTTCAAAGGTACAGTTTTGCAAGGGAGGGAGAGAAATAGGAAACAGGTTGCATTAGAAAAGAGCCCCTATGCAAAGAGAGCTGTCTTTACTCATGACTTGTTCCAGGGGTAGTGAATTTTTATGCAGTGATTAAACTGCAGGACTACAGTTAAGACTCTGCACACAATCTGAGTTTGATCCCAGCAGGCTCAAGGTTGAATCAGCCTTTCGTTCTTCTGTTGGTAAATTGAATACCCAGCTTTCTGGGAGGGGCAAAGTGGTATGAATAAATTGCAAACCACACAGAGAGCGCTTGAAGTGCCAGGGGGCAGTATATGAGCAGCACACTTTTTTTGGTCCTGTTTTGTTGAGTACAACTCTAAGAATCCCCAGCTTGGATACAGACCTGTGGGAGTTGTAGTCCAGAATGTAGCTGTTCCATTTCTCCCCATTTCTCCCATGTTCCTTCCTGGCAGTGCTGCACTGGCAGGTGTCAGAGTTCAAACAGGAGACCAATTGGGGAACCCTTTCTCTAAACTTCAAAGTTGACTGTGAGTTGCAGACAACAAGGAGCAAGCAAAAGGTTCTCCATATATGTTTGTAGCTATTCTTCCTTTCTTTGGACTTGACCCAACAATCCCCAGGCCCAGTACTGAAACCTCTTAGATTGCTTTTAAAATAAATAAATAAATAAATAAATAAAATCCTGATTAGGCATTTCTTTATTCTTTCCACGTGGTCCCATTACAACTATACAGGATTGTTAGCATGCAGCAATGCTGTCATGCTTCCGTTTTCAAAGCAGTTTTTCAAACATTGCATGGAGAACAGTTTTATTATCATCCCTTTCATCTTAATTGTCTTTTAGAATTCAAGCAGTTTCTTCTTTATTTTATGTCATAAGCTTCTCCAGGCACCTGAGACCCAGGCCTGTAGTGAATGTTAATTATGGTTAGTTTCAAAGAGGACAGTGACAGCCATTGTAGCTTGAAGTTGGTTTCTTTGGAATAGGTGGTTATTATTAACTCTAGATTGTTTATCTAGACTTCAGAATGTTGGTTGACATTCTTTTCCTTATCAACAGATTGGTGATCTAGTTGACCAATTTTCTGTAGTCTAGATTGACCATCTGTAGATGAGTGAAAGAAACAAGTTCTGGTATCTTGAGGTGCATACAGTGGTGCCCCGCATAGCGATGTTAATCCGTACCGGATTAATCGTTGCTATGTGGATTTGTCACTATGCGGGCAGGAAAACCCCACAGAAGCACATTAAACTTTGTTTAATGCATTCCTGTGGGGCAAAAACTCACCATTATGCGAAGATCCTCCATAGCGCCGCCATTTTCGCCAGCTCGGTAAGTGAGGAAATTGCGCGAAAATGGTTGCGGTGGCCATTTTGGGCACCCGGCGGCCATTTTGGAACCGCCGATCAGCTGCTTTAGAAACATCGCAATGCGAAAATTGGTAAGCAAAACGCTTACCGATCATCGCAATGCAATGTTTTGCCCATTAAAATGTCGCAATGCGATCACATTAGTGATCTCTAAAAATAGATCACTATGCGGATTCGTCGTTAAAGGGTGTGCTCGTTATACAAGGCACCACTGTATTTAGCATAGGCTTCTCTTCTCTTCTGTGCCCCTGAAGGAGTGGAGAAGTGAGATGTTAGTCTGTTGTGTTCTGTCAAAATTGTATTACCTGAGCATGTGACATTCCCATGATGTAGTACTAAGAGAGTGCTACAACTGTTTGGATAGCTCAACAAGTATCTGGCTTCAGAGCTAGAGATTTGGAGGACAGTTCCCTACTGCACCTCCTACGAGGGGAGCCAGCCTGTGTGCCTTGAGAAGGGCTACACAGTCAGTCCCAGGGCGCAAACAAAGGAAAGGAATGGTACCTGCTTTTGAGCATTTTCTGTCTGAAAAAACCCTTGAAAGGGCTGGCATAAGTCAGAATTGACTTCACGGCACACTAGGGTTATTATCATTGCAACTATTTTGGGAAGATGAGTGTGAACCTTCTAGCACAGCTGAACAGGTGATCTGTAAATAGCAAGAGAGCTATTTACCATTCAGAGCAGTGGTTTTGAACTGAACAGTGGCATTCCATTCCTAAGGTAAGTTGATGGTTGTGTTTTTTAATGATCTCCTCTCCCAAGTTTGCTGATTAAAAAAAAAAAAAAACTGACAACATTGGTTCACCTAATATCTGAAATGGAATGAACTATCCATGTTCAAAATGAGGTGCTAGGAACATAACATATTTTCCTGTCTATAAGATGCTACTTTTTCCTAAAATCATTACACTAAGAATTGAGGGGTGTCTTTTACATGGAAGTAAGCTGAGATAGCTGAGGAGAGAACAAAATAGCACATACTTTGCCTCTGTAAACAGGCTTCCTCCAATCACGAGCCTTATGGAACTGATGCTGTACAAACCAATTGGAACACACCTTGTTGGAGGTGGAGCCTGTAGGCTCAGATTCAACAGGGACTCATAATGTCCGACTGTTCTGAGCCCAGAGGCTGAACCCTCAAAGCTAAGTTTTCTTAATTTGGGGGTTAGAAAAGTGTGTGTGTGTGTGTCTTATAAATAGGGTGTCTTATAAACAGAAAATATGGTAATCTATTTTTGCTGTTGTAAAACTGAGATTTTACTAAGGGTAAGATTTCAGTAGTCACATTTCTAATGTCCCATTCTTTATCAAATAAGCTGAGCAACATGTTCAGAATCTGAATGTCTCAGAATGTACATTTTAGAATCATGTTTGCATAACTACATGAATGCATTTGAATTGCAGGATCGGCCAGAAACCTGTTAGGGCAGCAGGACGAATGCATGTCTGGTTTTCTTCCTCTGGCAGGCAGTCCTTAGTGCACCCGGATGCATCTTTCTTGTGCACTCAGGTGCACAGCCAGTTGTGCAGCTGGTCACGTGAAAGACAATCTGTTTGTGGTAGTGAGGATCACTTGCATACAAGCCCTTGCCTGCATCGTTTTCCAGAAAGGATCCTTGAATTCAAGTACGACGTATTATTATCAAATTAAGAAAACAGGAGGCATTCTCTCGCAGCACAGGATAATAATCACGTCTTCAAGTCAATTCTGACTTATGGTGAACCCTTTTCAGGGTTTCCAAGTACCTGGACTCACACCTTATTTTGTTTTTCAGGTTTGGAAATGTTGGTAGACAATGTTTATGACACAGTTTTTGCATCACTGGATCCCGTTCGCACCTTCACTGAAACCAGCATGTACCGGATCTTGCAGAGACGTTTTTTAGGAGTCCACCTGGCTATGTCTGGCAGATTCAGATGTATGTATCATCGAATAATTGAGTTGGAAAGAGTCCGTAAGGCCATCAGGGCCAACCCCCTGCTCAAGGCAGGAATCCAAATCAAAGCATATCTGACAGAGGGTTGTCCAATTTTCTCTTGAATGCCTCCAGCTTTGGAGTGCTCACACCTCCCAAATTAATTGGTTCCATTGTTGTACTGCTCTGACAGTTAAGATGTTTTGCCTGATATTCAGCCTCATAATGTGAGGAGTATTAGAAAGCACATTAACATAAAAAGAGCTAGCCCAAGTTGTCTTGTTGCCTAAAATAAAGGTCAAAATGCAACTAACCCTATTCCTCACAACGAGTAGCTGTGCTACTCGTTGACATTTACTTCAATTCTGGGACCAAGACAGTGTCCTCCACCAGATGTGCCTGAAGAAGACTCAGGGCAGGCCACTACATAGCACACACACCATTCTCCCAGCATCTCCCCACCATTTTCCATTGTCCCGTTGCATCTGTTGCCTGAGGGCATCCCTCACATTACTGGATGGCAGGACCAGCTCCAGTGATAGTCTAAATTTGAGACTCAGGGAGAGGTGTCTTGAAACACAGTCAAACCAGGCAAAACGTTCCTTTCATACTTAGAAGTAGAGCTCTTCTAAGTCAATAAAACCCATCGGTTTGTCCTAGCACAATTTCCCCCACTTCTGTATCTTGCAGCTTTCTCTGTTTTGAGGCTGGTCATCAGGAGGCAAACATGTTTTGGACACTCAGTCACCAACGGTCAGGGGGTCATGTTGCTGGAAGTCTAATGAGCTACGAATTTCTAGGTATGGGTTGAGCATCTTGTCTGGTTTGACTCTTGATGTCTGGCATCTGGTGCCACCACGGCAGTTTCCTCACACAATACACTGGTCAGCTAGATGCCAACCTCCTCTTGAGGGCGGTCAGATCAGACAAGTGCTTGTGTCCCCAAGGTCAGCAAATGAGCGTCATTTTCCAAGAAGGACTGAACTGGATCCCCTCAAAGTTGCAATCAGACTTGCAAGTGGATTGAACGAGCTGTAAATTTTGCTCTCCTCTTTTGGATCCAGCGACCAATTAGTCTTCATTGGGGAGCATCATAGTCATGAAGTCAACGCCTGCAAGTGGCTTCCTGCCACTGGTTCCACCTCTCTGCTTTGGAGCAGCATTTTTAGAGGAGAAGGTGATCTACTGTGATTATTATTATTATGACAGATATCAATGAATGGAAACTGTCACGATTTCTTAGACTTTCTCCTTACGCTTCTCTCTCAGGCCCCTCCAAGTGTGAAACAGAGAGATCTGTCACCATTCGCTTTGAACAGAGCTATCAGCCATTGTGCGATGAGAATGGAGCTTACAGACCAACACAGTGCCAGATGGATGGAGAGTGCTGGTGTGCGGATGCCAAAGGGCAGGAGCTCCTTGGAACCAGAAGCAGGGGACAACGTCCAGCCTGTGGTAGGTAAAACCAGAACTATAGAACAGACCAGGGGTTCCCAACCTTGGGTTCTCAGATGTTCTTGGACTGAAGGTATAAAACTTTGCCATCTTGCCTTGGGTTCCCAGATGTTCTTGGACTGAAGGTATAAAAACCTTACCATCTTCTTGAAAATATCCAAATGATCTCATATGAAGAGTTACTACATCCAGGCATCTTTTTCTTTGTTTAGGTGAAGAATTCACCTGTGTATCTGAGCGACAAGAGTCTCTTTCCAGGCTTTTCTATGGCCCAGTTGGACATTTCAGTCAACATAATTTATTCTCTGCTTCCCGAGAACTGCAAAATAGAACGGCATCTTCGAGAACTTGCCCTCCTTCCTTCAAGGAACTGTTTGTGGATTCTGGTTTGCTGTCTTCTGTCCTAGAAAAAATGGAAGAGTCTCAGTTCCTCAACCTTGAATCCCTCCTTAGTGAAGCTGTTGGAGGGATGTTTCCTTCAAGAGAGCTTGCTCAAGTCTCTCTTCGGTTTGCCAGCAACTCCAAGAGGTTCCAAGAAAATCTCTTTGGGGGAAGGTTCTTGAAGAATTTGGCTCAGTTTAACTTAACAGGAGCTGTCGGTCCCAATGGGAAGGTGAACGTGGACCTGTTTTTCCAGCAGAACAAAATGAGAGACAGCGCTATTGATCGGAACCAAAGTCTTGTGAATAGCTTTGGCCGCACCATCAATTTGCGAGACAACCAAAAAGCTGTCCAGTTTCTCGCTTCTCTCCTTGAAGCCCCAGAATTTTTCACTTTCTTGCAACATGTTATTTCTGTCCCAGAAAATATCGCCCAAGACTTAGGCGAAGTTGCGAGGGTAGTGTTGAAAACCAACGAGTGTACTGAGCAGGCGAAAAATCTGTTTGTCCCAGCTTGCACCAAAGAAGGGAGGTATGAAGAAGTGCAATGTTATGCAGGGGATTGCTGGTGTGTAGACCTGAGGGGCAAAGAAATCCCAGGGTCCAGAGTACGAGGCGGTCATCCAAAGTGCCCTACGATGTGCGAAAAACAAAGGGAAAATCTCGAACGCTTGAGAAAAAGCCAGCCAGCAGGTTCCGAGCTGTTTGTTCCGTCATGTACCCAGGAGGGGAAATTTCTGCCTGTCCAGTGTCTTGGGAGAAATTGCTTTTGTGTTGACTTCGAAGGCAGGACTATTCCAGGAATGGGATCAAATACAGGAGAGTCCATTCAGTGTAAGTTTTAACTTATGTATTTTTGCCCATGTTGGTTGTTCTTTAGTGTGTGTGTGTGTGGTGTGTGTGTGTGTGTGTGTGTAAGCCTCTGAAGTTGGCTAATGTGCGTGGTGCTGAGAGGACGTTGAACAATACCTTGGATCCACAGAAAGAGTGACCTTATCCATGGTCACCCAACAGATTCTGGTAACCTGTTATCTCTATAAGGTATTGATTCCATTTAGTTGTTACCTTACATAGCATCATCTCGAGAAAAGATGGGGCAAACAGCTCTGCCACCTCCCACTTCTGTTTCTATATGCAAGCAGGGATGAGTCTGAACAAGAGGTTGCTTCTAGTGTGGAAGCTATGCATGCAAGCAGGAACCTAGAAAATCTGGGTTTTTGTTCACGTGTAGAGCCTAGACTTTGAGCAGAAATGTTTCTTCTTCAGACTCATCTAGTTCCCCCTCTATTCAGTATTAGTTAGGTCCCATCTTGAGTACTGTGTCCACTTCTAGATACCACACTTCTGGTATCTAGACGTTCAGAGGAGGGAAACAAGGATGATGAAGGGGCTGGAAACCAAGTCCTATGAGGAAAGATGGAAAGGACTGGACATGTTTAGTCTTGGGGAAAGCCAAAGCAAAGCAAAGCAAAGCAAAGACTGCTTATATACCGCCCCATATCGCTTCAAGCTCTCTCTGGGCAGTTTACAAGTTAATGATGCAGGCTACACATTGCGCCCCCCCCCCAGTGAGCTGGGTACTCAGTTTACCGACCTTGGAAGGATAGAAGGCTGAGTCAACCTTGAGCCGGCTTCCTGGGATTGAACCCCAGGTCGTGAGCACAGTTTTTTGGCTGTTGTACAGCAGCTTAACCACTGTGCCACAAGGTGCAGATGGAGGGAGGGGGATGGAGAGAGGGGTGAATATGGTGACATTTTCCAAATATTTGAAAGGCTGTCATACAGGGGAGGGGCAGGATCTGTTCTCCATCATCCCAGAGTGGAGGACACTCAACATTGGGCTCCAGTTACATGAAGCCAGATGTTGGTTGAAAAACGTCCCAACTATTAGAGCAGGACAGCAGTGGAATCAATTACGAGAACCTCAACCTCGTACCTCAACAGGTGGTGAGTGCTCCAGTACGGGAGGCATTCAGGAGAAATTTAGGCAACCACCTAACAGATCCTTTGATTTGTATTCCTGCCTTGAGCAGGAGGTTGGACTGAATGGCCTTATAGTCCCCTTCCAACTTCATGATTCAATGATTCATCCCTATTTAAGTGGAGACTGTGAGAAGGTTAGGAGACTAGGCTAAGCTCCCTTCTCAGCGTGTGTTGATGACACTGGATAAGATAACAACTAAAGAGGGCTCATGTTACAAGATTACCCTCCATTTCCCTCAGCTGGGAATGTTGATCCCAAGGATTAGCTTCCAATTTCTCAAGTGTATCTCCAACACTGTACATAATTTGCAGTTCGATTACTGTACTTTGGAGGCAGACTGCTTTGTGCCTTAAAGAATCATCTGATGTTCGAACTCATCTCTGCAAGTCCTCCTGATGGCTAAGGTCTTGTGTTCATCTCCTTTAGGTCCGACTGAGTGCCAATTAGCAGCTGCTCAGGCTGTTCTACGTACTGTACAGCGCCTTTTCTTGGACCCCCTCATCCTGCCTCAGTTCTCAGAAGTTTACATCCCACAGTGCAGTCTGGAAGGTCTGTGGAGGCAAGTCCAGTGTAATGGTCCCCCAGAACAAGCTTTCGAGTGGTATCAAAGGTGGATGACCCACAATAATAATGGCAGAACTCTTCCTTTCACTGACTTGGTGGACACTCTCCTCAGCTATAAACAAAGAACTCAACCAAGCTTTGAGGGCTTCGTCAAAAGGCTCTACGAAGAGGGCCACCAGAACATCTTTCCAGAACTCTCCAAATACCTTTCATTCGATGCTGTTCCTCAAGGAGTGTTGGAGGGCAAGAGCACAGTCGGGTCACCAGAGAATATTTTGCTCCAGCCGTTCCCCTTCTGGCAGCTTCTTCAGGCAAATCTCATCCGTTACCCAGGATCTTATGTGGATTTCAGTACCCCCTTAGGGCATTTTGAGCTCCGTAATTGTTGGTGTGTGGATGAAAGAGGACAAATGCAAGGGGACAAAGCCAATGTAAACAAGGTTCCAGACTGTAAGTAACTCACCCCACATGTTAGAACTTAGATGGAAATGGTAATGCAAATATTCATGGCATCCAGTCAAACAAAATGTCAACAATATTATTATTAGTTATGCTCAAGTGAATGGCTTTCATAACAGAAAAACATTGCAATGAATTTTAACTTTCCTAACACTGATCCAAGTTATTCTGTGGAAGCTGTACAGCAAAACACTGTTTTGGTCAGCTCTGGGACTGAGGAGTAATGAACATAGTAGTTGGTTATCAAAATGACATCTTCACCAAGAATGTTTATTTCCCTGCAAAGCAATGTAGTTGGATGGGAAGCTATTTTTAATATGTGTGTGTGTGTGGGGGGGGGTTCTGTTGTTTGACACAGAGAAAGATACTGCATAATCATAAAGAGCAAAGGAGACATTTTTGAAATCTTCAATATCTCTGCTCAGGTTTTTCTTTTTGAAACGATACGACATCAAGGAAACAACAGGACTTAGTTCCAAGACACCCACCCCCCCAAAGGAATTGATTGTATTGCTTTAGCTATATGAGAAATACAATATTTTATGTTCCTATTTTGCAAAATCAATTAGATTTAAGTCATGTGCAACTGTAGTCATGCTGTGCCTTTCAGAGAACCTGACTGTAAGAATTGCTTCAGTGAGCAAGAGATTGAGTTCATCGGATAGCGGTCTGTTCATCCGGCAGTGTTCCACTTATATCCATGGAAAATTTTTAAAAAGAAAAGAAAAGAAAGTCGTGCTAGTTAAACTGGGGCGATTCAGAAGACATTAAACACCATGTAGAGTGGTCAAGCCAGGGTAGAAGAAATGAGTAGAACATATGGAAATGCACTCAACCTGCATTTCTTACTTTTTCCATCTCTTTCTGTTCCCAATGCTATAATGAACTTTGCATGCATAGGTTTAATGCCCTTATGGCAGGGTGAGACTGCCACATACATGGCATCATTCTGGTATATCTTTTTTTTTAAAAAAAGCAAACCACACATCTGGTGTCAGCTCACACCCAAAGGGAAAAGGATCTTATGATAGTAAACCAACATTAGAAACTTAAAAAAAGTGGCCTCTCCAGGTTCCCCTGTGTAGCTCCTGAGTCCAGAGAATCCTGGGTTTTTAAAAAGGCTGTTACATGTCTAAGGGACATGGTGGTGCTGCGGGTTAAACTGCAGAAGCCTCTGTGCTGCAGAGTCAGAAGACCAGCAGTCGTAAGATCGAATCCACAGGACAGCGTGAGCTCCTGTCGCTTGTCCCAGCTCCTGCCAATCTAACAATTCGAAAGCATGTAAAAATGCGAGTAGATAAATAGGCACCATCTCGGTGGGAAGGTAATGGTGTTCTGTGTCTAGTTGCGCTTGCCACATGACTACGGATACTGTCTTCGGACAAAAATGCTGGCTCTCTGGCTTGGAAACAGGGATGAGCACCGCACCCTAGAGTCGGACATGACTGGAATAATTGTCAAGGGGAACATTTACTTTACAGGTCCAAAGTAGCTCCTAACAGTCATAGCCCTCAGAGGCCATGATATTTGATTCCCTTCTAGACATTCCGGTTTTGGCATGGGGTGTTTTGGGGTGTATATGAGGATGTAGTCTATTGAAGTTCTGGGTGGTGGCAGCAGAAATGGCCCCCAGTCTCTCTGAAATTTCCCATCCCTGCTTTAAGACCACCTCTCTACTTCCTTGGTCTAGACCAGTGGTCCTCAACCTTTTTAACACTGTGTAACAGTTGGGGAAGGTGGGGCACCCCCCTCTCACATGCATGCATGAAGGGGGGTGCGGCATTCACGTATGCACATACACACTCACATGCATGTGCAAAGGGGTGGGGTTGCTCACCCGGGTGTGTGCACACTCCTGTGCATGCGTGAAGGGGCTCTGCAGGGGGGAGTGAGTGCGGGGTGCGTGGCACCGGGCTGCAGACCGGATGTTGGGGACCCCTGGTCTAGAGGAAGATCAATGAACTTGATATGGATCAGGAGGATAGTAGGCTGTGAGGTTTTAAACCAAACATTCCTTCCTTTGCTGGGGGGCTCTGCAGGGGGGAGTGAGTGCGGGGTGCGTGGCACCGGGCTGCAGACCGGATGTTGGGGACCCCTGGTCTAGAGGAAGATCAATGAACTTGATATGGATCAGGAGGATAGTGGGCTGTGAGGTTTTAAACCAAACATTCCTTCCTCTGCTGGGGGCCTAGTCCAAATATCATCCTTTCCTCCCCCCCAGCTAAAAGTACTACAGCCCTGATCCAATTTGGATGACCAGTATTTACTTTAGAGGAAAAAGGGGGTGGGAAAAGACACTGATTATAGTTACAGCCTTAAAATATTGGCTTAAGAAGGCAAATTGATTGATTGATTGATTGATTGATTGATTGATTGATTGATTGATTGATTGATTGATTGATTGATTGATTGATTGATTGATTGATTGATTGATTGATTGATTGATTGATTGATATCGCACTCCACCTGGGGACCAGGCCACTCTGGGCGGCAAACAACAATATACACAATAATATTAAAACACAATCAAAAATAAATTGATACATAGCCAAATAGGGTAAATTAAAACAGATGGTGATGCAGGTGGTAAAAAGGGGTGATGGAGAGGATGGGAAAAAGAATGGTAAAAGGGAAGCCGAGATCTTAACGCTCCAGGAAAGCCTGGCGGAAGAGCCAGGTCTTCAATGCTCTCTTGAACCCATCCAGCGAGAGTGCCAGGCGGATCTTCCATGTGATCCAATTTGGATGACCAGTATTTACTTTAGAGGAAAAAGGGGGTGGGAAAAGACACTGATTATAGTTACAGCCTTAAAATATTGGCTTAAGAAGGCAATTTGATTGATTGATTGATTGATTGATTGATTGATTGATTGATTGATTGATTGATATCCCACTCCACCTGGGGACCAGGCCACTCTGGGCGGCAAACAACAATATACACAATAATATTAAAACATGATCAAAAATAAATTGATACATAGCCAAATAGGGTAAATTAAAACAGATGGTGATGCAGGTGGTAAAAAGGGGTGATGGAGAGGATGGGAAAAAGGATGGTAAAAGGGAAGCCGAGATCTTAATGCTCCAGGAAAGCCTGGCGGAAGAGCCAGGTCTTCAATGCTCTCTTGAACCCATCCAGCGAGGGTGCCACGCGGATCTTCCATAGGCGGTTAGTGACCGCCGAGAAGGCCCGGTTTCTTGTTCTTTCCCTCTAAGCCTCCTTTGGGGTCAAGGCCCTCAACCACCCTGCCTCTGAAGAACAGATATTATGGCCGGGATTAGGCGTTCTGGTAGGTACCGAGGTCCTAAATATAATCTTTTGAAGATTATAATCTTTTGAAGGTTATATAAGCAAAAGCCTTCCTCTTTATGCCTAAAAGCTAGCTAGATGGGAATAGAAGGTATTGGTTGAAATCCTGATCTCATCAGTCATGGTCCTTTTTCACAAATTCAAAAATTCTGATTCTCCTCCGTCCTAAGGCTCTCTTGAACTCCCTGTCATCACAGGGAAACTGTTGGGGGTTGCAGAACAAGGAGGGTGTCTCTAATTTCTGAAAATTAATGCTGCCAGTAAAATCACCTTTGTTGAGGCAATCAGAAATTTTTATTTTCTGAAAAAATACCATGGTTGATGACATCAGCAGCCTTATGCAGCATACATTAAAACAACAGGATTTCAGCCAATCTGTTCATCTTCCATTTCCATCAGTTCATTTATCTGTCTCCTTCCATCCAGTGCTTTGAAAGGTTACTTTTTCTGGACTACAATCCCCAGGATTTCCCCGTTAGCATAAACAAAGGCTGGAGAATTCTTGGAGTTCTAGTTGTTTTTCCAAACTCTGCTTCTAATGCTAGAATCCCATGATTCTAGGGCTGTGGTTCTAGTGAAACAGAATACGGGAGTCCATTAAACATATCCTTTTCTCTCCTTGCAGGTCCTAGCAAATGTGAAGCAGCCAGGAGAGAAGCCATGCAATTTGTTGGAGAAGTGGAACAACTCATCACAGATTCCAACAGCGCCCATTTTCCTTTTGGGCAAAGTTTCTTAATGGCCAAAATTAAGCCTCTGAATAATCTGTCTCAGACTAGTATCACCTTTTCAGAAAAACTATTAACTGGGAGTGACTATGCCATCCGACTGGCTGCACAATCAAGTATGTTGACAGCAACAGCAGGGAACCCCTTTATCTTGTCCTTCTCTGTTGTTTTTAACTTAGCTGATTTTAAGGGCTCCAATACATTTAGTCAGCTTTCATGCTCCAGTCTGGGCAGGAGCTCCGGTTGCCCTTCCCCACCTCCTCAGGCAACCAATCACTCTGCCAAGGAGGCAGGACTGGGATTCTCCCTGCCCAGCCAATGAGTGGTTGGCTGCCTGAGGAGGCGGGGAAGAGCAGCCCAAGTTCCTGTACGACTGGAGCACCGCTGGAGGAAAAGAGCCCGACAGTACGTGATAAATTGTGAGTGGGCCATCCGGCCCGGGGTCGGGGTGGGGGGAGGGAGCACATGGCATCTGTGGTGCTCCACGGGACACTTCATACAAAGAGGGATGACTTAAGTCATCCCCATCTCTAATATAAATGTATAAATTGGGATAATGATAACAGCCCACAATGAATCGAATATTGGGAAAGTTCTGTGGAGCTGTCTTGCATTTGGGATGGAGGCAAAGGGAAAGGGCTGGAGCCAAAAATACCAGCTTAATAACCTTCTGCTGCTGTTGTCTAAGCCTTAGAAAAGTAATTTCATTCTTTTAGTTGTTTTTTTTTGGGGGGGGTGTCGGGGAATGGTGTAAAAGCCAGAGAACCAGCTAAAGCTGGTGTTGTGGGAAGGAGGCATGGCCAACTTAGGATTTCCCAGAAGGTTAGACGGAGCCCCTAGGAGGGCTGGAATCATCCCTGTAGTAGGAAATTCACTTCTACCAGGCTTCTCTAGGTAGATCAGGGAAATCTAACCTTTTGTTGCCTTCTAGAGATGGTTGAACTCCAACTCCCGTCATCCCCAACCATTGGTGATGTTGTCTGGGGCTGAAAACAGGTGCCACCCAACACCTCTGGAGAGTCCTAAGTTGGCAAAGACTGGTTCCCAGTAATTGTGCAGTGGGAATGCTAAACATGGAAGAAATGTGTTCAAATTTATCTAAAGTTATTTGCCCATTTGTAGGACAGCTGTTTACCTGTCCGTATTCTCGGTGCTTATAACCCTGGCTTTACATGACGTATGCTTTTTCTTTTCAAGCCTTGCAATTCTATTGGAGAAGTCTGTTAAGGTCAAGTGATTCTGCACAGGAAACCTTGCGCCTGGGATTTCAGCCGTACGTGCCTCAGTGTGATGGTCTGGGCAACTGGGAACCTGTCCAGTGCTATGAGAGTTCAGGTGAGTGATGGCTAGAACAAACATTGGAATAAACAATGATGGTCTTTCATGACAGGTGGCTTGAGCATCCCATTGCTGTGTTTATGTATTGCCCGTCAACTTCAGGAGCAGGATTTGAGGGGATCCCAACGAAACAACCAGCAAGCTCCAGGTTTACAAGAACACATGTTTATTGAGTAACTTACACAGGGATTCAATAGCTGGACTGGATAATAGCACAGGTTAGGATCACTGCAAAAAGTCTGAATGCCCATTGGGTGGAATTAAATATCTTTGCTGTTTACACTGATAAGTTGCAGCTGCAGCTAGGTAATACATTATTAGTTCACAAGCTTTGAAGATCAATACACGCATATGAACCACTAACTCCTTATCCTGTGTTCCATCATGATGAGCTCAGGTATTCATAAACAAGTTCATAACTAGTGTTTGATAATCACCTGCTGTTTTGGCTCCCCTCATTTCCCTAAATATCATTAACATAGCTTGACTATGGTTGTTGTGGGTTTTTTGGGCTCTTTGGCCGTGTTCTGAAGGTTGTTCTTCCTGACATTTCTCCAGTCTCTGTGGCCAGCATCTTCAGAGGACTGGAGTAGGAACTATGTCCATGCTCTGTTGCTGTTTGTCCCTGGTCCTTGTGGCTGGGTAGAGTTCGCTGACCTTCTGCAGGCTGTATTTTTCAGTGCTAGAAGCCAGGCCTTGTTCAGTTTCAGACTTTCCTCTTTTTTGTTGAAGCTGTGCTGATGTTTATGGATTTAAATAGCTTCCCTATGCAGTCTAACAGCACTAGGGGTCATTGCACAGAAGAGACCAGCTAAAGACACCCATCAACCATAGTGACAGATAATCTCTACCACTTATCACAATAATTCATCCACAACAAAAACACACAGATCATCCTATCTCCTGAAAAGGACAAAAGGTGTTCCCACAGCTATAAAATACCCAACTATCCAACAAAGCATGGACAAAGTAACAGAGCATGGACACAGTTCCTACTCCAGTCCTCTGAAGATGC